ACTAAAAATAATATGGAATCAATACTAGTAGCGTCATCTGTGTGTTAGTTAACCTATGAACTTTTCAGCCCACCTAATACAATAGGGAATGACGACACCAAGGAAAACTTTCATGAAATTGAACTACTGAACTGAACTACTACTTATTCAATGATGATTGAATCAGTCGATTGAGAAACTCCTTTTGTCTGATTTTCCATTTTTCGATTATTTGGTTGTTGTGAATTAATTTCACATCTAGTATTGAAGTTGAGATTGTTTATTGTTTTATATAGTTACCATTATTGTTGTCAGTTTTTGTTTTTTGATTAAAAAGCAGAAAAGTCAAATAAAATCTTATTTTGCCGAAAATAAGTAGTTTGCCCAANAAAATGATGTTTCTGAAGATGACGAATTGAAAGAACTAATGAATGAAACTATTCTGATGGATAATTTGGGAGTTGAAAATGACAAATTCAATCATATTTCAGAAGAAGGCAAAAAGGCGTTTCAAAGCATGGAAGAAACATGTTTCCAGTTAGAAAACAACCACTGAGAAATTGGTTTGCTTTGGAAAAAAGAAAATATCAATTTGCCAGACAGCAGAGCTACCGCGTTGAATATAAATTATTCACTGTAGAGAAGAAAATGCAGAGAGATAAGTATTTTGGAAAGCAATATTCCAAAAAGATAGAAAATTTCGTTGAAAAAGGATACGCAAAAGTTTTGACTTGCGAAGAAGCCGCCTTCACGTCTCACAAAACCTGGTATTTGCCACACTTTGCAGTAAAACATTCTAGTAAACCACAAAAATTCAGATTTGTATTTGATGCCAGAGCCAAAATAGATGGAATCAATTTGAACGAAAATTTATTAAAAGGTCCTGGCCTTTTGAATTCTTCAGTAAACATTTTATTCAATTTTCGTCAAAATCGAATAGCTGTAATGGGAGACATCAAAGAAATGTTTTCAAGGATATGCATACGAAATGAAGATCAAGATTCGCAGCGTTTTCTGTGGAGGGGAAGAGATAAAGACAGACCTATCCTTACTTACCAAATGAAATCCATGATTTTCGAAGCAATCTGTTCTCCAAGCTCTGCGATCTACGTCCTTCGTGAACATGCCAAAAAACATGGAAATAAATATCCAGAAGCAGTGAAAGCTATTGAAATTGTTCACGGAGTCATAAACATCCATAACCAAGGCAAATTCAGAATAATAAACTGGATCAACAATTCTAGTCATGTCCTGACAAATATACCTCTGCTGAAATACTATCCAAAAGTAGTACCGATACTGAAAAGTTACCCACGTCTGAAACAACTTTAGGTTCAATATGGGATACAAAAGATGATCTTCTCAGTTTTCCTGATACATTTTTGAAAACACATGAGAAAATAATTGTAACAGACAATATTCCTACAAAGAGAGAACTATTGAAAGTAGTAATGTAAGTATATGTTCCACTTGGCCTGTTAGCAGCTTTCACCATACAAGCCAGAATTTTGATGCAGGAAGTATGGTCACATAAAATTGCATGGGATGATAAAATCACTCCTGATCTATTTGAAAAATGGAAATCTTGGCTATCTGCAGTGTATAAAATAAAAAATTTGAGAATTCCTTGATGGTATGGATTCAGCAGTCATATTGTTGAAATTCAACTACATACTTTCACGGATGACACTGAAAAAGGATATGCTGCTGTGTCATATTTTCGAATGAAAGACTCCAGTGATCAGATTAAAACGTCTTTGATAATGGCTAGGTCAAGAGTCACTTCCTTGAAACCCATGACAGTACCTAGAATTGAACTTCAAGCAGCTCTTCTTGGATCAAGATTGGCTAAAACTATCGAAAATGGCCACAGCATAAAAATAGATAAAAAATTCCTTTGGATTAATTCTAAAATAGTTTTGAGTTGGATTAGGTCTCATCCAAGGAACTATAAGACTTTTGTTGCCAACAGAATTGGAGAAATTTCTAATAATACAAATCCTGATGAATGGCATTGGCTACCCACAATGTTCAATGTAGCAGATGAAGCGACCAGGGGTCTCTGGAACATTGATAACTTTCAGAATTGGTTTGAAGGTTCTCAGTTCTTGACTTCAGAAGAGATTAAATGGCCTCATGCTGAAGAAAAGATAGAAGATGGTACAGAAGTGGAAAAAAAGAAGAATTTCGTTTTTGTAATCAACAAGAGATGTTAAGAAATTATCAATTTTTCAAAATTTTCGAATTATTTGTCAGATCGGTCGCTTGGGTGATAAGATTCATTCATCTCATGAAGAAGAAAATTGGTCTACCAACTCCTCAGATTTTCTCAGATGAGCTAACGGTTGAGGAGTTCAAAAAGGCTGAATTTGAAATTATTAGGCAATCACAAATGAGTTGTTTCTTCGAAGATATTGAGAGACTCAATCGTATGCAGAATCCTAGAAAACAAAGTCGTCTTCGAAATTTGAATGTATTTATTGGCCAAGACAATATTTTGAGACTAAGCGGACTATTGGATGAAGCACAACACCTAGATATCAATATGAGACAGCCAATTGTTCTGGATTCAAGAAACTGGATGACCAAGTTGTTGATAAGACATTATCATAAACTGAATCATCATCAGGGAAGAGAACAAACCATTCAAGGGAAAGATTTTGGATAATCAACGTTGGATCAGCAGTTAAAGCTTGTATATCATCCTGCATTATATGTAAGAAGAAAAACGCCAGGGTTGAAACTCAGCAGATGGGACTAATTCCAGACTTTAGGACAGTACAACAATGCAGACCATTCATAATTACAGGGATGGATTATTTTGGCCCAATGACAGTAACAATTGGTAGAAAGAAGGAAAAGAGGTATGGGGTTATCTTCACCTGTATGACAACGAGGGCAATTCATCTAGAACTGGCTTCTTCCCTTACTACGGATTCTGACATCATCTCAATTCGTAGATTTATTTGTAGAAGAGGTAATCCATCAGAAATACACTCTGATAATAGATCAAACCTCTGCGGAGCTAAAAAAAAATGAAACTAGCCATCAAAGAACTAGATTCAAACCGAATTCAACAGTTTTGCTGCATTCGTCATATAAAATGGTTCAAGAATCCACCAGCAGCAAGTCATATGGGAGGAATATGGGAAAGAATGATTAAATCTGTTGAAAGTGCCTTAAAAGTAATTCTTACCCAATAGAGCCCAAAAGAAGAGATTTTGCATACTCGTATAGTTGAAATTGAGTATACAGTGAACAGCCATTCCTTAACTTATGTGTCTTCTGATCATCAAGATGTGGAAGCTTTGACACCCAATCACTTCCTTATTGGAAAGTTCAATGAAGTGAATCCACTAGGTATTTCTGCTGATACAAATTCACATCTTAGAAAACAATGGTGACTGTCACAAAGATATGCGGACCTTTTCTGGAAACGGTGGATACGAGAATATGTACCCTCGCTGATAAAGAGAAGCAAGTGGCAGTTCAATAGCAGCGATGTTGCAGAAGGAGACATCGTCATTATTGCGGATGATAGTTTTCCCAGAAACTCATGGCCAAGAGAAAAAGTTACACGAATTTTTCCTGGTCCCGATGGCAGAGTACGGGTAGTCGAAGTGACTACAGCAACAGGAGTTTATCGTCGTCCCATCACAAAAATCATTTTTTTGAAGCCAAAGCAGTAATTTGCGAGCCCCGGAGGATGTTGTGAATTAATTTCACATCTAGTATTGAAGTTGAGATTGTTTATTGTTTCATCACGTTACCATTATTGATGTCAGTTTTTGTTTTTGGATTAAAAAGCAGAAAAGTCCAATAAAATCTTATTTTACCGAAAATAAGTAGTTTGCCCAAATATGGTATGTAATCTATGTGTTTCCCCAACTGATTTCATGTTCTCGTTATCAAAATTTTTTGGTTATCCCGCAAATTTGAGTTTGCAGGTTAGTGGGGTTTCACAAACGACCAATTCAATTCGTCTTGACAATAATAATTATTCTGATTAATTACCAGCTTGGCTACATTTTACCAATTATAAATACCTAATTTTGGAAGAGAAATTTGCAGTTTAACTGACGGTCCTCTTGTAAGGGGTATTTATATCCATTTAACAGATTTAAATGCTCAAAGACAGCAATTTCCGAAAGAAATTTGTCTTTGGTTTTAAAATGAAGAGATTTTTTAATAGACAGACATACATAATGACAAAAAATAGCGCCATTTGGCGTATGTGAAACCAGCAGAGAACAGCCAATCTCATAAAAAATTCACACCTTTTTCAAAGATATACAAAAGACTGTTCAACGACTTTGATTCAGATGATAGCAGTAAAGAGCCGATGATGCTGTCTCGTGGAATACTTGTGGATTATGAACTTCACAGTAATAAAATTTGATAACCTCTTCGTCTCAAACTTCTAATAGAAGCTCAATGTGATCTCAATGTTTCATGCTTTTGTAAACTAGTGTTTATGGCTCGTGTAATTTGTCCAACATTTTTTCATCAAAAGTTTCCCAGACAACAATGAGACGTCTTGAACACATCTTGAAGGATCAGGACTTCGGGACATCTCCAAGACGTCCAGTCAAGTCTTGAACAATGTTTCAATGTTACAAAACAGTCCGTCTTCAAAACATCCATCCTATGTCCATTTTCTGGATCTTCATAGTACTATCATCAATAGGAGATATCCATCAAGAAAGATCAGAAACACATTTAGTTTACAACAAACATTAGAAACAGCTTTTATCTTACATCACTTCGAAAATTTCAAATATCTGACTGATTTTCGAGAATACAAAGCATACATATAAACAAAAGTAGTTTTTTATTGGAAACCGGTGTTAATTTAAACACATCATTAATATAAATATTCGCGGGTATCTCAACTAATGAAAGTACACTAATTGGCATGTCAGACTGTATTGTTGTTTCATTATACAGAATCGTTAGTAAAGGAAGCCTTGATAAAAACACTTATTAAAAATTATTATTAATTTGATATTATTTTTTTGCAGATTCATGAGACTGATATTATTGGTATGGGTATAGCGAGTAATGGCAGATACATAATGTCTTGTTCAAATAAAACCGACATGGTAATTTGGGATCTCAAAGGTCAGGTACTAACAAAAATTGATACATACCTCATGAACACCACGTGCGCAAAACTGTCACCTTGTGGAAAATTCGTAGTTGCATCAGGTAATTTTTTTATTTTCTCAGTATTCAATGTAGTTTAAGTAGCTGATCCGCAAAGAAGTGCTCAATGTCAAAACTATCAGTCCTATTTACTAGAGAACAAAAGTCACAGCTTATAGCTGAAAAAGTTTAAAACTGACTCAGAAAATATATATCAATAACATTGTTTCCAAAGATAAATGTGCTCTACCGCACCCCTTTTCTACTCCCCTCTCCCTTTCCCCTCTCACTTCAAAACACTATAATTCAATGATTTTTTTTACTGTTCCTGCTGCTTGGCATTTGCTTTTTTCCCCATGTTTTTTAATGACTCTAATTCCAACACTCTTATTTTCTGTACTGATTTGTACAAGTCCTATTTTGGAAGACATTGCCAATGATGAATGTTTGCAAGTTTTCATTATACTAAAACAATTGGTTGTTACTCTCACAAACAATGTCACGGTCGTTTATAATATATTCTTTTTCGAATTTTCTACATACAAAGATAGAAAAATTAACAAACGTCATTGAAAACTTTTGAAAAGTATGTAGATGATACTCAGATGCTTCTCTCAAATACAAAATCTTGATTGTATTTGAAAAGAGAGAGTATTTAAAACAACAATTTTTCCCATATGGATATTAAATTAAACAGAAATCTATTAACAATATTAGCTTCACAAAGTACTTCATTCATAAAGCTTTCTTAGTCATTTTTCATAACAGCTTGGTCTAATATTTGCCATTGCAATTATCATAACAAAATTTCCTTTCACTTATCCTATATTGGTACCTTGAATGACAGTGAGAATGACAAACGAACTATATACATTGTTCTATTAAGGTTTCAGCCCCGAAGCTAAAGTGTGGGAGGTGATATTCAACAAATCAGGTGAATTCCAAGAAGTGAAGCAAATCAAACAATTAACTTTAGGTGGCCACACTTCTGGGGTATACGATATAGCTTTCGACGTAGATTCTTCGCACATGGCCACTGTTTCAAAAGACGGTACCTGGAATCTGTATGACACGAAAGGTAGAGATATCTATTTTTAAATAAAGTATGAGTGCAGTTCAGGTAATTTTTACTTTCAGTGAATTATAAACTGGGAGAAGATGCTCGGATAATCAGATCTGGAAAATATGATCAGTGTAGCGGTAATGCCCGTATTGCCTTATCTCCAGATGCAGAAGTTATTGTTATTACAACATCTAACAAAATGTCATTTTATTCAGCCTCAACTGCCAAACTGGACAATACTATTGAAAATGTTTTTCTAGGTAAGACTAACTGGGAGCATTCATTCAAGTGAATAATAATAATAATAAATGTGCTGAATTGGCGCAGTGGTAGTGCGACCGAAAGGTCGTGAGTTCGATCCCAACCTCGACCAGATATTTTTCTCGGGAGAATTCATCTAGTTGAAGTTGGGATGATTCTGCAATGTTACATGCCAATGACCAACGTAGTCGATGCCATAAAAAATAATAATGATAATAAATTATCGTTAATATGTGACCTTCAATCCTTCGTGTCACCCTGTAAACCTTGCCATAGGAGTACACATAAAACAAATGTATTGAATATAAACGAATGAAACGTCATCTGAATATAATTAAATTGAAAGGGCAAGTGTATAAATTTATAAATGTAATGTGCGTTAATTTTCGTTATTATTGTTAAATTTACTCATTTGCCTCATCATTGATTATCAATAATGTGAATACAATATTGAGTACATAGATGTGTTTTCAAATATATATTTGGTAAATACTAACGTGAATCATATGACTACAATGCTTTGCTGAAAAAAACCTTTTTTTAAACATTTTTGTTTCCTCTACCAAATATCCTTTGATACTGTAGTTATTGAAATAGTATTTCCATTGGTGCGTCTGACCAGCATTATTTCTACCAATTTCCTTTTCACTCTTTTCAGATGTTGGTTTCAGGTTGGCCTGAGATCTAGTATCACTCCTAGATATTTGGTCTCCCCTGAAAAATGTTTCTCTTCAACTCTAAGTTATAACATACAGTGTCTGCTGCATGCATTTCCTCACATTATTGTATTTTCCCTACAATAGGATGACCAAATCGTCAGCATAGCCCAGTACTTTATATCCTTCATTGTCCAGAAGACTCATCCATTACATGGTTTCACAATAGTGGGGAAAACCCCCCTCCTGAGGACAAATTTTCCCCTTACCGCTCATTCTACCATTGTTTCTCCATTATTAATAGAAAATAAAAACTTGTTATGTTCATAGTATAATCAATTATACTATAAAGTTTCTAATTATGTACAAATAAAAAAAATGGCATCTAATATAATCTGTAAATGACATGCAACTAAATATTGTTTAATCTATTTTGTTGTAGAACTTGAATGTAACTAAAATTAATTTCAGGTGATATAACATCGCTTATGTTTGACTCTACTGGAAAATACATTCTTGTGTCTGGAGATAAGCAGATTAAAATTTTTCACAATGTTACTGGCTACAGATGCACAATTGAAACTGCCAAGGAAAAACTAAAGGAGCATCAAACTTCAGCAACCAAAGAGAGACTCCAGAAGCTGATAACTGAATGTCAAGACTTCATAAAAAACATTGATAGAAAATAAGTTCAAACTATTGACAGATATCAATGTTCTGCCACTATATTTCAAATACGTTCCTTCAGTATTTGACTGAAACTATATATTCTTATATATTTTCAATAAAAAGTTATTAACTGTATGACATACATTTTTTATTTTTTTTAAGAAATAACTAAATTGAAATGAATATGATATTAGAGTACACAATAATTCAATTTCAGATATCTGGTTCAAGAATTTATTAAAAACATTCACAATTCAAGTCTTCAACGTAAGCAACATTTAATGGATAATTTGAATAGAAGTGTTCTCAGATAAAAAAAATTTATGAAAAATATATATTTGTACGTATGGGATGAGGTGTGATGCTTTTTTTTCCCATATCCAAAATATATAAGGCTCGGAGATGAATGTTTAAAGCACCTTCTTGTATCTAGCCTAAAGTCAGAGATTTTTTAGCCAAAATTACTGATGAAACAAGAAAGAGAAGTTCATATTTTCATTAAACTAATAGTCCAGTCATTATAGTAAGTTCACCTCGGAATTCGAGATACCCAGCTGTAAGTCTGTAAATACTTGTATATTGACACCCTAAAATTTGTCTGAAAACCTACATATGGTAGGGTGTACGCAACTATTAAATTTCAAGGTCAATGGTCACAAAAATCGGTTTCTTGCGCTTTTTTTGTAAATATCTCATTTTCTATTGGTTTTTTGCCATTTGTATTCATTATCAATATTGTAGAATACAAAATTCTCTACAAATTTTGTTCAAAAAAATTTTTCATACGGTGAACCGTTTTCGAAATAAAGGGCGGAGAGCGCGCGGTCACAGGATCACTTCAGGTCAACCGGTGCCTCCGGTCGAAAACGCGCCATATATAGTTGATGAACTATCGATAAATCAATGATTATAAATATTTGTCAATTTTTATTAACTATTATA